AGGCAACACAGACAAAATCAGAGTTTTTAGGGGCAAAATTGTCCCCCAAGAATTTTCAAGCACTAAGCAGTATTCAGAAAAAATCAGTGTTCCATAGAGATTATGAAACAAGATCAGAAGTTGAGAGAAAAAAGCTTCTCGCTCGAGGAAGAAAAATCCATGAATTTTCAAAATATATAAAAATCAATTCAACTGACAGTGGGTACAGAAAAGGACAATTACACAAAATTTTACCGGATGTTTTGCAGCAGATGGATGATGATCATTCTTATTAATATTCGCAATGATATTTAAATGTATAATTTGCCCTGGAATGAGAAAGACAAGAAAAAACAGTTTTTTTCATAATAACGTATTCTCATTTATGCTACATCTCCAAAATCCGAATCAAACACACATACAAGGTATCCCCCCTAGAAGGACGCCAACACGATTCGGCCAACACGATGCCCGCTGCCCCCAAGTCCGTGGTCGAATGCCTCAAAGTAAAATTATACAAGGAAATCACGACTGGCATAAGAGGTAGGAAAGGGTGTAGCGGGGTTTAAGTCTAAATTCAATCTAAATGGTCACGGCACCACTGTAAACGAGCTGCTTGTTGGTCGGCTTGTTTGTTTGTTGGGTTCTACTTGCAAACTGCAAATTAGACTATTGTTACATACACTAAATTCGGCACAGGGTCCTTCCTTCCTGTCCCGTCGTGTTGAGATCCTAATGAAACATACATACAAGGTATCTCGCCTAAAAGCACGCGAACACGATTCGGCCAACACGGTGCCCGCTGTCCCTAAGTCCGTGGTCGAATGCCCCAAAGTAAAATTATACAAGAAAATCACGACTGGTATAAGAGGTAAGAAAGCGACTGTGGTAAACACCAACTTACAAGCTGGATTGCTAGACATGCGTTTAGGTAATTCAAGGACTAGGCTTCTATTGACAAATTTAGACATTCCCCCATCATCTGAAAGTGGTATGTCCAAGTTATCCAATTATGTGAGTTCAAAGACAACTGACTTGAACAATGAAAGCATAAGAACTAAGGTGGAAGAGGTGAAAAATGTCAATAGACGAAGAGGTGCTTCCAACCCTTACGTGATAAATGTGGCTTCGGATGGTCAGTACAATTGTCTGGCCATAGGACACAGCAAGAAATCTGGACAAAAAGCATCCCAATCAATCGACATTGCTTGTGAGACAAACACAGATAAGAAATATATCATAAGTGCTGTGTTGTAAAATAAACTTTGTTGGACTGGTGCGTGGCTAAGAAGCACGGGTATTACTGTCAACTGTCCTGGACACGAGGGATGCACAGCAAGACAAGACATGCACCTATATCTGAGAAAGAAATGGGGAGAATTATTGGTGAAGATTTATCTATTCAAGGGGTGCTCATCAAGTTTGCCACAAGAGATGGAGATTCAACGTCAGCTACCGGAATTGAAGAGGCAATGAGAACTTTACATCCTATGTGGAAAATTGAAAAACTAGCTGACCCAGCCCATCTTAGTGCATCTCAGTTCCACCAATGTTGTAAGGCTAATTTAAGCCACATAATGTTCAGGGGTAAAACAAACGTTTTAAAAACAAATCAAAAGAAAACTTTGAGCCAGGATATAAAATCCAGGTGTAGCCTTGTGATAAAAGAGATGTGCATTACTTACTGCGGAGATGTGGACAAACTGAAAAAAAAACAGCTGCCGAAAATACTACAAGCAACTGTTGTATGCTGCGATGGAGACTGTTCCAAGTGCCGTTCGAACTCAAAAACTGATGGAATAGATCCATGTTTCTGGCTTCGAACAACTTAATGAGTCTGGAAATGAATGACAATGATAAGTTTCTGTTAAATGAACTCTTGAAATAAGATTAAGTGAGGAAGCCATTAACATAACCCGTTTTAAGACACACTCAAAAATGTGAGTCAATAAATCGATCCATAAACATTTCGCTTCCAAAGAGTGTCAAATGGAAGAAATCCTAAGTGGTGGCTATCATCCACTATTCTTCAATCAAATATTGAGATAAAGGAGGCAACACAGACAAAAGCAGAGTTTTTAGGGGCAAAATTGTCCCCCAAGTGTTTTCAAGCACTAAGCAGTATTCAGAAAAAATCAGTGTTCCATAGAGATTATGAAACAAAATTTTACCGGATGCTTTGCAGCAGATGGATGATGATCATTCTTATTAATATTCGCAATCATATTTAAATGTATAATTTTCCCTGAAATACCTATAGTACTTCCACACATGCAACATCATCTAATCCGGAACCCATGGAAGTCGATCAATTCCGCCAAAAACGTTGTCACCACTGACACAAATTAGGCCACATATGTAAAAATTCACATTAGTTCACTGCTGAGTTTATCAGCCGAACTAGTAGTGAAGCCTCAAACATATAATATAGGTATGGCGAAGGTAAAAGGTAGTAAACCGACGTCAAGTACACTCCTTATAGAAAGTTATGATAAGGGGTTTATTAGAGCACAACCAGGGTAAATGAAGTAGGTTCGAATGACCCTATAAAACAAAAGGGATATTGTAGGAAAGGCAATAGATGAGATGTTGAATGCTGGAATTATCCGACGATCCTACAGTTTCCCAGTGGTAATTGTAGATAAAAAAGATGGATCAAAACGCTTCTGTGTAGACTATGGGGCTTTGAACAAAATCACTAAATCAATTCTTACCCACTTCCTTTAATTGACGATGTATTAGCCTTACTAAATTCTGCAAAAATGTTCACAACACTCGATTTGCGAGCTGGATTATGGCAAATTAAGGTTAATGAGGAAGATAAGGAAAAAGCAGCCCTTGTCTGTCACAAAGGACGTAGGTTCGAATGACCCTATAAAACAAAAGGGATATTGTAGGAAAGGCAATAGATGAGATGTTGAATGCTGGAATTATCCGACGATCCTACAATTTCCCAGTGGTAATTGTAGATAAAAAAGATGGATCAAAACGCTTCTGTGTAGACTATAGGGCTTTGAACAAAATCATTAAATCAATTCTTACCCACTTCCTTTAATTGACGATGTATTAGCCTTACTAAATTCTGCAAAAATGTTCACAACACTCGATTTGCGAGCTGGATTATGGCAAATTAAGGTTGATGAGGAAGATAAGGAAAAAGCAGCCCTTGTCTGTCACAAAGGACTTTAAGAATTTAATGTCATGCCATTCGGAATATCCAAAAGTCCTGGAATTTTTGAACAGCTCATGTCCATAGTACTCGATGGACTAGACAAATTTGCAGTCGCCTATCTTGACGACATTTTAATCTTTTCCATATCACCCGAAGAACTTTTAAAATATTTAGATGTAGGTTGCAACAGATTAAGAGAACACAATCTCCGACTAAAGCTCACAATGTGTGCGTTCATGAAAGAAGAATCTAATCTTGGGTTCAAACTCATTACGGAAGGTCTAATGGCAGACCCAGATAAGGTACTGGCTATACGTGGATGTTAGCCCCGACATCGGTTAAAGAAATGAGGTCGTTCATATGTCAATGTCATATTATCGCACACATGTTCAAAATTGCAGAACCATTAATAGGTTTGACTAAGAAGTACGATAAATTCAAATGGACTGACGAATGTCAACAGGTCTTTGAATATCTTAAAGACAGTTTGACATGTCAGAATGCTGACCTGCCATAAATACTCTATACCGACGCAAGTGATACTTGTATATTGAATGTATTTGTAATGTAAAGAGGTTTGGATATAGGTTGAAATCTGGTCATCTGATTTACCTGATTGTCTCTATGTTGATGGTTTTATCGTTAATGTTGGTATATATCGACAAGAGCTGCATCACCCCTAGAACTACTCAAGAGTGAATGCTTAAAAGTAATGAAAGTAGTCTTATGTTCAATTAAAAGAGTAACACCGACATAATAAATAACACCGACATAATAAATAACACCGACATAATAAATAACAACGACATAATAAAGATCATAACCAACATTTATTATTAGTTACAATGTCAAATGTGGTGTTTGGAACTTACAAGAGTAACTATGTTGTATTGTGATGTGGTTTTATTTGCTTAATTTGGTTAAAAGCCTCTACATGACCATTTTCTCTTTAACTTATGTGGAAAGTTTGAGAGAAGATGCAGAACAGAAGACTGGGGCTCTCCAGGCATAGATCATAAAGAAGGTGGAAGGTCCTCCTTTAGACATTCTTCTCAGTCACTCTCGCAATCTATAAATTGCCGTTTGTACCTGGATCGTTGGTGATAAACGGTAGGTACCCATGAGGTAATTATTATTTTCTGAGGATACAGTGTGAGGGTAGGACAGCCAAAGACAGGCATTAAAGAGAGTGCGTACCTGTCTCTTCTTTCACGCAATTGAAAGAAACACACAAGGAAGCGGCGACAGATCATCAGCTTTTAATGGATATGATTGTAAAAGAAAAGTTTGTGGCAGAATGAATATGAATATGGAAATATATAAGAATCACCTGTAACACATAGCGAGGAAGTAGACCTGCGGACTAAATATTTGTGACCAAAATCAAAAAAGAATGCAACCAACATGCGATTTTCTAATGTCAACGAGCCAGATTCAGTGTTGACGAGGATATGGTACAAACAAGATGAAAGATATGGATCCCCTGAACAAATCGCTGAAAGATAGTTGCTATCAGGCACAGGCGCGGACAAACAACCAAGCTGCCACATGTCATGAGTACCAAATAGATTGATCATACAACCAAATATGAAAGAAAACATTCCACTGTGTATCCAATATTTGATGTTTTTGCCAAATTTGTTAATGGTTTGAAGGTGAAATACAATTACGCAAGTTTCAGTTTTAATAATGATCGCAAGGCAGCAATGTTGTTTTCCATCATGTAACAGAAATGAAATGAAATGCATTAAGGAGCATCAGCACCAAACGGGCTAAAAAGCTCCAGAATACGTTAAAATAATGAAAAAACTAAAACAATAAAACACCTATTAATATCACTGAAAGGTCACATAGTGACAAAAAAAAAAAACAAAAAAAAAAAACGATAAAAACCATATCACAGGTAATACACCACATGGTGGTAATCATGTAACAGAACAAAGCCACTTAATCTATAGATAATTCTTAAGGCTTATGGTGCGATCACATAACTAGTTTAGGCGATGTATGTACCTGTGTGGTAATTTTATTACATACTGAGGATAGGATAGTTCTATTATGACCAAGTCTCAAGAAATGATTTGGCTAAATTAATAATCAACAGCAGTTTACTGTTAGTCACTGAGGTGGAACAGGCAACCAGAGCAAATTAAACTGGTCTGTCACAGCTACATATTTTCAACATGTACACAATGTAATACAAAGTAGATGATAGAGGATAACAACTGACTAAAAGAAGAATTGTTTCAAACATTACTGACAATGATGCCGTCACAAAGTTTAACTCACATCATCTAACTTAAGTATACAGATTGTTGTGACAATGGGATTTGCGTGAACGTTATCGCGAGATCTCGTTCTCGTGTGAATTCTTCTTTCAGTTTAGAATTCGCGCGAGAAGATATCGCTTTGCTTGAGGATTGTTTCTTCCATTCTGAATTCTATCACTGTCCATCCGGTTGCTTACCTACTGCATTTTATTTCCGAGTGATTCTAGCTAGCAGATGAGTATATTTTTCAGAGCTTAGCTGCCTGTTACATTCATTATTTTGTACTTTCTTTTTCGTCTCGCTTTCTCTCACTCACAGCTCTTTTTAACAATGGCCGCCCCACCACTCTCTGCACAGTGCTGTGTTTCGATCTGACGGAGAACCTGTGGAATTTATTCCGGTCGCTTCGCCTGTGAAAGTGTGTTTATTTGGTTCTAGTTATGTCAAGCGTTTGAATGCTTACCTTTAATCAACTAACAAGGTTAATTTGGGTTTGGATCCTCGATTATGTTCCGTCAATTGTTTAGGATAAGGAGGTCTATGTGTGCTTGGCGATCGCCATGGTCGTCTCGATCGTGATCACAGTTTACATTTTGCAGGTTGTGATATTATCATGATTCATTTAGGATCGAATGATTTGGCGTCAGTGAACATTGACCCTACACTCGTTGCTCAGGCTGTAGTTGATTTTGCATCTTCTATTTTGACGAATTTTGGATGCAGCTGTGTTATTATTTCTGCTCTTTTACCTAGACTTGCACAACCTGATGAACTTTTTAATGCTTAGGTTCGAGACACAGATAGAATAATTTTGGATTTATGCCGGTCCAACCCTCAACTGTTTTTGTGGAAACATAAATTGGGCTTGTCTAATCCCATAAGTTTGTTGGGCAATATGTCTCTGATGGTTGGAAACCCTCTCTTCCTTCGCAGCATAAGAGATGCAGTTTTACGCCACATTCGGTGGTTCTCATTATCACAGGTGATGCTCTGCCTTTTACACTTTTGCCTTTCATGCTAGGCGCTTTTTTTCAATCTATTTTGCCTTTGCTAGGCATTTATGTTAGTTAGCTACTTAGCCCATCAGCTGGGCGCTTTTGTTACCTGCCCTTTTGCTGGGCGCTTTGCTATGTTTTGAGTGTATCTTTATGTGAAAATTTCCTTTTGCAGGATGCCTAAGCGAAATCGTTCGTATGTGGATGAGGATGATATTGTTCCGACGACAGCTGAGGACAGGTTGACTAATATTATGCTCCAAAAAATGCTTAGACGTGGGTTGTTATTAAATACTGCTGCTTCTTCCACCAGTCAGTCTCCTACATCAGCTGTTAATTCTTCCACTGTTCAGTCTATCTCGACAACTACATTTCAAACAACTCAAGCTTCACCCAGTACCAATCAGAATTTTCCTGAGGCTATGGAAATGGTAACCTCTGTTGAGTCAATACCTGTCAATAGTCAAGTTTTGCATTCGTCTGTGGCAGAAACAGTGTCTGTAACAAACGCTCTCGACCCATCTCCTAGACTTCCAGTGCCTAGTGTGAATAATCAAGAATTAATCCTGTACTGGTGGGTAATATGCCTCATAGTCAGCAATCTCTGTCAGTATATGCATGTATGCTCTAAATGTGGGTTCAATCATGCAGCTATTAATTGTTTTGCTAAACGTACTCGCCAACAATCTCAACCTCAATCTCCTCAGGCCGATAATAAAGCGGTGGCTGTCGATTCACTCTAATGTACCAGTAGTCGGTACTGGCTCTGCTCCACAGCAGACCAATTCGCGTTATTCATTTCACCGCGGTGGCACTAATGCCACACAAAGTACCAACTCCAATCCATCCAAGTTTTTGCCATGTTTTTTCTGGATATAATCAGATTGAACGCGAATTTTTGTTCCAAGGATTTTCTTCAGGGTGAAAGGTCTCTTTCGATCTTTCGCAATCATAAATCATGTAGAGAAAATTTAGGTGTACTTTTTGATAAAATAAATAGCAAGCTCCGTAAAGGTCGCATTTTAGGCCCCCGTTCATCGCCCCCCTTTCCTGATCTAGTTTGGATATAGTTCCGAAACATGAGCCCTGTGCTTACCTTCTCTTTTCCTAATGGTCAGTCGATTAACTCTGGAATTCCAGAACAATTTACAACGGTACAATATAATTCCATCGATAACGTGGTTGAGATTGTTAAGGAGTTTGGTAGGGGTGCACTTATGGCAAAGGCGGACATTCAAGATGCTTATAGACTTATACCTATTCATCCCGATGACTGCCCGCTTTTGGGTTTTACTGTTCCTGTAAATGATGACATTTTTTACTTTGTTTCGTCCATAGGGGGGAGAAGGGTGAACGCAAATATTTTTTATGGTTTTTTTTTAATTACCTCGAGGTTACATTCTCTAGGGTATCTATTTTGACTGGTAAAAGCAACTCATCTACTGACCGAATGCGTGTCCACACTACATATTTTAAACCTATAAATCAATTTCTAGGCTTTTAATGCGAAATCGACAAGGCCGTTTGGAAAGAAATAATGAATTCAAATGCACAAAGGTACATCACCTGGGTGTCCAGGAGGAGGATATCTCCAACAGATTAATATTGCTGTCGGAACATTTTTTGAATATTATTATTCATGGACTTGCCTTTTACACAAGGAATTTAATTTTCTAAACCCAGAGATATTGTGGTACCAATAATGCCTAGACTTTTGCACTTAATATACTTGAAAAACGAACTATCATTGACTGTATATTTTTTTATTCTGAGACCTTCATGACTCGCAACACAATATTATAAATATAATAAGCATTATAATACTATGAGGTTTTTAGCTGGTATTACACCATAACTTGTAAAGTCCTTTAAATCTGAAGGATAGGTAGGGTGTTTGCCAACAGAGGAGTTTAAATATTTTGGCCATTGCAGAGGAGATTCAATTATGGCAGACAAAGGTTTTACTATTCATGATTTAATGAATAGGAAAAAAAGATGTGCTATGAACATATCACCGTGAAGAACAGTCATTAATGTTCAGTAGAGAGGAAACATCGTACTTAAGGTAATGCACAACTGTGTTTTATTTACATTTTCACCTGACTTGGTTTGTATATCACTGACATCGGTCACCTGTATGTCCAGTAGAAGTTTTATTTTCGCATCAGTGATTTAATGGTAATAACTCAGTGGGAACATTATTTGTCCATACATTAATAAAAGGAAAGACTCAACAATGATGTCAAAGATGGAATTTGTTAGATTATAGCAATGATAGGTCAAGTGTTTCAAGACAGAAGAGTAATAATTTGGTACACGAATTATTTTCGATTGTACTGACATTTTTATTCAAAGACTTCTATACACTAATATTGACATTGTTGTTTTGTTATATTTCTTTAATACATCAAGTTTTCATTTTTATTTTTATAAAACTATCAATTGTAATATCCTTTATATCTGAAGGATGAGTGCCACATCAGAGGATTCTGGATTTTATGGCCACGACAGAGGAGATTCAATTATGGCAGACAAAGGTTTTACTATTCATGATCTAATGAATAAGCAAAAAGATGTTTTATTAGCATACCATCATGAGGAACAGTTATCAATTATCGATCGAGAAGGTACCTCGTGCTCAACGAATTGCACTTGAATTGACTTCTAGGTGTTAGAACCACAGGTACACAGTGTGACAGTGTACACAAAGCTGTAATTCCTAGAGATGATCAGGGTTTCAATTACAGATTAGCCCATGTTAGTTTCGTTCGATTTTTTTTTTTTAGGTCTATTTCCATTCAAAGTCAACTTCGTTTTCTTTTTTTTATTAAAATTGTAGGTAGGCTTTCAGCTAAGGCCACACACATCTGCCTTTTGCTTATGGAAATTAGTGGATTCAATCATTTACTATTTTGTACAAAGCTTTTTCACCAGAAACATTTACAGAAAGTTTGCAATATTAGATGGAAGTGGAAGATATACAACTAAATCAAAAGAGGAAAATTCTAGTGTGGCGGAGAAATTTAACCTGTCTAACCGTACGCATTCACAGGTTTCGTTTTTGCTAAGTCTGCACAGGCAATTCATCACTTTGTAATTTAAATTTTTATGTTTATAATTTTGTTCTTATTTGTGTGAACTAATGAGATCTTCTTTTAAGCTGATAACATAGCCATTGCAAAAAACTCTACCAAGGTTAGCTATGCCGATATGATAGGTCTGCTGCTACCAGGTAGACCAATAAATGTTACAGAAATGGCTAGAAAATTGAATTTTTAACATTCTCAAGAGAACATTAGAATATAGAATAGATGTGATATTCTGGACCAACAGCTTGTCACAGAACGAGTCTTCAAGATTTCAAACATTTGCAGAAAATCGATTAATAGTAATTAGGGATGATCAAATCCAAACCAACAGAGCTATTTCCAACAGATGATTCTAGAAGGTTAGAAATAACTCAACAATTTGACAGATGGGTCCTTCGTAAACGCTACTGAAACCCCTGTATCAATGAACGTCGGCAACTATCCCATAGTTGACAAGGATGCCAAACCAATTGGGAAGAGATCCTGTACGGAAGCAAATTTCCCCTTTCAATGCCCCATCAATGGTTGAAAATTTTTATGGGAGTTATTCCGACCCACCTTACAGTGAGTATCAGAACATAAGGATGCGTCCTTGTTTAAAACACCGGTCAAGTGATATGATGTTGGTGTCAAAATTATTTTTTAATTTGTAAGAAAGAGTAGTTATATAGAAATAAAATAGCTATGTGATATTCTGATCACTATCAGTCTCTGTTACAATTGGTATCTCTACATAAAGATTATTCCTTGTTTGATTACTCTGTAGAAATGGTATCATTACAACAAAAAGATCCGTGTCGAAATGGTTTTTCGCCTATTAACAGTATTTATATTAACACCACCCTTCCAATTAGTATCTCTACATAAAGATTATTCCTTGTTTGATAATACACAGCCACTAAAATTGCTGTAAACTTGGTGTCATTACAACAAAAAGATCCGTGTCGAAATGGATTTTCGCCTATTTACAGTATTTATATTGACACCAACCTCGGTGTGGCCTTGGCAACACCTTCGGTCCTCGTCCAACAGTCATTATTAGACTTATTGACAAGCTTTCGACCATTAACCTATACTCAAATGTCTAATTAATTTTGTTGGAAATGTATTGAACTGTTAAATTCAGAAGAAAATGCGTTTCGTTAGGGAGCATCCATCACACCATGGTGGCGATAAATATTGATACAATATGAAACTTTTAAATGTTATACATTGAAAACAGCTAATATTATACATGGGTCAAAATTAAACAAAAACGTTACGATTTAAAACAAACAAGGGATACACTAAGTAAAAGATGATAAAAACGCAGGTATTACAGAGCCGGATTAGATAAATTTAAATATTTATTGACCAAATTTAAGAAAACAACATGTATAAACGAAAATTAATAACTAAGTCACTATGCGATACACACATTAAGGGAAGTAACTCATACACAAAAATGCATTATCGGTCTTCTTGAAATATCAGAGAAAAAAACAACAAACAATACAGTGAGTATCAGAACAAAAAGATGCGTCTTTGTTTTAAACACCGGTCATGTGATATGATATTGGGGTCAAAATCATTTTACATTTTTTTTTATTAGCAATAGTAAGAAAGAGTAGTTCCTCGTCTAACAAAATAAATTAGCTATGTGATAACTGTCAGTCTCCTCCTGTTACAATTAGTGTTTGGAAATACACAGCCCCTAAAATTGCAGTAAACTTGAGGTCATTACAACAAAAAGATCCTTGTCGAAATGGTTTTTCGCCTATTAACAGTATTTATATTGACACCACCCGCGGTGTGGCCTTGGCAACACCTTCGGTCCACGTCCAACAGTCATTATTAGACTTATTGACAAGCTTTCGACCTTTTAACCTATAATTATTAAAAGTAATGCTATTGTTAACCATAGTGTTTAGTTGATAACCGCAGGCTATAGAAGCAAGACAACACAATGGCTTACTTGTTATACACATGTCACAACACGAAGGTTAAGCTAGGATAGCGCACCAGTATAAGATTTCATGAACTATTTAATAATACTCAAATATCTAATTTGGTAGTACATGTATTGATTAGTTAAATTCAGAAGGAAATGCGTTTCGTTTCGAGCATCTATTAGCACCAAGCTGGCTATAAATAATGATACGATATGAAAATTTAACAGTGTAATACATTACAATTGAACACAGTTGAAATTATATAGATGAATTAAATCCGAACAAAAAACGCTACGATTTAACAAAATAACAAGGGATACGCTAAGTAAAAGATGATTAAAATGCAGGTATTACAGAGCAGGATTAGAAATTTAAAATATTTAATGACCAAATTTAAGAAAACAACCTGTTATAAACGAAAATTAATAACTAAGACACTATGCGATACACACATTAAGGGAAGTAACTCATACTCAAAATATAACTATTTTTAATTTTCTCAAATAGCTAATTAATTTTGCAATACACGTTTTGAGTTATTATATTCATAAGAAAATGCGTTGCGTTCAGGAGCATCTGTTAGCACCAAGCTCGCTATAAATGATAATATGATTTGAAAATTAAATATCTTACAATTGAACACAACTAAAATTCTATAAATGGGTCAAATTCGAACAAAAAAGCTACGATTAAAAGCAAGCAAGGGATACGCCAAGTAAAAGA